CCCCAAAACCCCAAAACCCCAAAACCCCAAAACCCCTTATTTTCAGAAATTTATAGGAAAGTTATAATAATAAAATGGAAGAAATAATCCCAATCAGCTCGAACAAAGTCCCTCTACCTGTTGAAATCATACCTGAAAAGATCAATCTATCGAATGAGGTTAGAATCAAAGACGACAGTTCGTCTAATTACGGCTCTCTCACAACCAAATCTGGAAAGTCCAACAAGGTGTCAGACAACCAATTAGAGAAGGCCAAGAGTGATCAACAGAAAGAAAATTTAGAAGTTGCTACTAAAACTGGCAAAAATAAGAAGTAAGGCATTGCTTTAGGGTTTCCACAGGGTGGGAATTTTGTACGTGGAGTAGGAACTTTGGGGGTTTTAAGAGGGAATAATAGGGGTTATAGGAAGATGAAGGAGGATAAGAAGGATGGAGAGGAGAAGAAGGAGAAGAAGAGAAGGAAGAGAAGGAAGAACCCTTTTGCACCCAAGCAGCCGTTAAATGCTTATAATTTTTATGTTAAGGAAAAGATGGAGATGTATAAGAGTCAGTACATTGATTGGGGACATAATGTCTTAATCAAAAAGATAGCTGAAGAGTGGAAGATGGAAGCTAATAAACAAAAATACAAACAAATGGCCCAAAAAGCAAAAGAGAAATATACTGAGCAAAAGGATATGGTTAAGTAAGGAATTAATAATAACTTTAATAGGCTTTATCATCCAAAGCCTAAGATAAAGAAACCCCCAAATGCTTTCATTCTGTTCATGAAAGAGAGAAGTAAGAAAATAAATGAAGAAAGTCTGGAGAATTATAAACCCCCAGAATCCAAACCTAAGAAAAGAGTAGCTAAAGATAAGAATAAAAAGAAAGATCAAAGCCAAGAGAATACTACTTTACTAAAGATAAAGACTGGTGAAGAAGTTGAAGATAAATCAAATGTGAGTGATAACAGGTCCACCAACCCTTCTAGTTTGACTCTTAGCTCCAAACTATCAGAGTCAAATCTCAGCGACAAAGGTACTTCCAATCTCACCTTGTAGGCGGTCACGATGCTGAATCAGTGCTTGAAACACCTTCCAAACCGTAAGTCTGTGCATGACGTTGTAGTGACTTCCAGGTTCCTCGGCCCAAGAAAATGGACCGCAAAGAACTCTTGTCGAAGATTTCTCGAGAATGGAGAGAACTCAGTTCCTCCGAGAAGCAGCGCTTCAAACATGAAGCCGCCAGGAAAATGCGAGAGTGGAAGTTTGACAAGCGTGAAGAATACCGAGCAGCATTCGCAAAGGCAATTGGGAGGCGGCAAGGAGGATTTGGAGTGTACAAGAACCAGCTGTAAGGAAGCTTAATCATGAGTATAGGACACCCTACAATTTCTATCTCAAAGAGAAAGTCCGTAAGCGTAATTAGATCTCATCTCTAGCACAACTCATTCAAGAAAAGAAGAAAAATGGAGAGGAGCTCGTTCAGAAAGAAATTTTCAAGACAGTAGCAGAGCAGTGGGGACTTCAAGAAGATATGACTAAATGGAGAGAGCAATCTGATAAAGATGCTGATAGATATGAAGAAGAAGTTGAAAATTTTAATGCAAACAATAATAATGAAGGAGACTATCTAGATGGGGACTTAAGAGAAAATCCAACCGAGATCCTGATTGAAAACAATAAGAGGAGTCTTGGTGAGCAGATGCAAAACATCCCTCTATTACAAGGGAGTGAAAATTATCCTCACAGGATGTATCCTTCTAACCTGAACCTTGTGGTTCCATCAAGCTCGAACCATGACGAAAGCAGGACTGGAATAGATAGTGATTTTAAGATGCCCAAAGCCAAACCACCCAAAATTATTATGGACGCACCAGTAATCGAAGGTAAGCTATTTCCTTATAGTTTTAGCTGAAGAAGGAGACCTTGATGCTCTCTTCGGTGGCTCAGAAGAAGCAGAAGGAGAAGACCAAGAAGACAATATTGACATTGATATTGGAAGTGAAGATTCTGATGACAACCAAGATAATCCAAATATTCCAGAAAATGAAGATGAGATCCATCAGAGCCCAAATCCTGAATACGATCATATGTAAGCTCTGAAAGTTAATTTTTAGTGAGGAAGATAAAGAAATGGAAGCAGTAGATATTAAAAATGATTTTAAAATGCCCACTGGAAGAGATATCAACGATATTAGTAAAGTGAAAGGAATTAAAGCGAAATCACATTTCGATATGAATATTCTAAAAGGTAAGTTATCAACGTTCTTGCTATTGCCATTAAAAGATCTTAAGACCCTTATTCTTTCCATAAACTAGGGATTTTAACTATATGAAATATTTTATAAGAAATTAACCTGCTATTTAGACTACAAATCTGAGATATCATTTGGTTTGACAGAGAAATCAGAGGAAAAATCGAAGGAAGATTCTAAGAAATAATTCATCTAATTTCAAGTAGTATCTGCTGAAGTGGGGTTTTGGGGTTTTGGGGTTTTGGGG